GTTTGAGCATCTCCATTTCTAGTATTGACTGAACTGTGCTTATGGAATCCTTGAGGCTGGTCATACTGAGTCATTCTTATAAGGAGAGGCTGGACTTGCCCTGCAGCGATTGCTCCCTATTCCTTTAGTCTCCATAGAAATGGGGTATCAGAACTGAAAACATGAAAGACAGGCTGGCTCTCCTGTATTCTGACCTACCCTGCTAGTGTTTCGGTCATGTGGAGGAAGGAGCTATTTTGAGGGGGCAAAAGTTGAAGCAAGGAAGAAGATTGTGGGCAGCACTTGGAGTAGGGAGAGGAATAGATGAAGCTACTGAGACAGTTTAGCCTGTCTCCTTGTCTAACAAGATTAGAACTTGGGAAAAGGCAGGCTGGACTTCATTGCTGAGGCAACTGGGAATTATTTGTCTGGGGAAGTGAATACTGAGGTCGGGGGGAAGCTGGAGGGAGATAAGGACTGACTGAGTAAAGTGGAACAGGAGCCAAAGAAGAGGAGACAAGGAGATTGGCTTCCAGTCTTCTTCCCTGGATTTCTCCTCCACTTGGGCAGATCAGACAAGAAGTTAGGATGGGGAAAACAGAGCCCAGCAGCAAACTTGAAGGAACTGGATAAGATGTCACTCCCTTTTAGGGTTTGGAAGGGGACCCAGTATGGAGTTGTGCCATCCCTCTGCTCATGAATTTTAAGTATATTAATATATTCTATGTAGTAGAATCTATTTCATCTGATTTTTTTTAAACTAGAAAATTCCATGCACACAGAGAACTAATATTAATGCTGTAAACCCCAAGTACTTGAAACCTGTGAATGCAAAAAGGTTCTCTTCTAGAACTACCATAATGCATTTAATTCACAGATTGCATACTTCGTTATTAGACACCCTGTCTCATTTGGTTTGTCTCAGAGTAAGCTTTGAGTACTAAGCAGTAAATAAGACAGACCTATACATGGAATAAGGATAACAAAAATTCTGCATAATTGCTCACTAGGCAAGCACTGTCAGTTTTCTTGTATTGAATGATGCAGGTGTCCTGTGGGAAGATGATTATATGTGATCATACATTAAAGACTGGCAATGCATATGCAAATATGAACAAATTTAACATTGCACAGGAAGCTTGTGTGCAATTGAATTTAGGTTTTGTCTCCAGTTTCAGCTTTTTGGGGAAGATTTCTTGAGGTTGGGAGGTAAAAGCACTTAAAATGCTATCTGTTGAAAAACTGCTCCACTCATTTAATCTGTCAAAACTTTTAAACTCGTTATTGCTTTTCTACATGCAAAAAAATATATACCAGTCATGCCTGTCTTCCTAGAAAAGTAATACCGTGAATCTGAACTGTTGTTCTGTAAGCCATAACTACCAGTAGCCACGTGCAAATGGTCCGTACAGTTTGAAAAGTAGTGCACAAGTAGAATAGGTATCTTTACTCTGCACTCAGAAGCTGCTTGTGATTTTCAACTGACACTCCAGTCTGTACAAACTTTCACTTTCCCAGGAGAAACTCCCTTGGGAGTGATTTAACTCTGATTGTTCCCAGGTTATTTTTCTTCTGGAGAGCCCATTTTTACCCTGGGGGAGAGAGTGTGAACATCTTGTACACTCATGATTTCTCCTGGGAGAGCAGTGACTGTTTCGGGAGAAATTAAATGTCTGTACAAGGCCTTAGTTTAGATAAAATTCAAAAGAACTATATCTTCAATTTTATTGATGTAAAAGAAACCTGCTTACTATTTGTATATCTTAATTTTTAAAAGGAAACAACTTAAAGCAGACTGCTGTGGCTCAATAAGCTCAAGAGTTTTATAGTAAAGCAGTTCTCAGAAATTGTAAATGGTGTAATATGGTCTAAAGCTAACTTTTGTAATTTCTGTGGGGCTTTCTAAATATGCTTCTTGCACTGATGCCAACCATATAAAGAAGTGACTTAAACTTTGCTGTTCCTTGTACTGTTTATAAGGGGAAAAGGAAATATAGAGGTTTTTTTCTGAGCTGTCTTTTACTGTAGTTTACTCTTTTTTTTTTTTTTTGTCTTCTGACTTTTGTTACCATGAAGAATCCTGTCATCTGGCTATAAAACAGTTTAAAAAGTCAAGCAAATATAACTGTTTTCTTCTCATTAAATATTAAGCTATCATTTAAAGCAACTTAAAACTGCTGGAAGTGGTTTCTTCAGATACCCTTGCCTTAGTTTTAAATTCTGTTGATTCAAAAAAAAAGTGATGGATTAGTTCTTGAGATTCAGAAGGCTTGTAACCAAAGAACACCTACTGCTTGCTTTGTGTGTACTCTGTAATTGTATTTCAGCTGGCCTAGGAAAACTGAAGTAATAATAGGAAAATTGTTTTAACACCTGCTAAATCTGATCTCTTTCGCTACCTAGGAGGTGCTGGTTCTGAAGATTAAATAGTTTGTTAGGTAGTGACTTGTTCCTATTGCTCTGAATTTGGGTGGATTTGTATTGGTGCTTTGGTTGCTGTAGTGATGTACTTGTATTAATAAACCCTGAGTTGACATTTTGGGTTTAGTTTAAAACTTTTTTACACCCCTCCCACCCACACACACTTTTACTAGGCATTATGGCATTGAAAATGTCTTAAATAAGTTGAGTGTTTCTTCCTCATTCAACTGTATTCTTTCTTTCCCTTTAGAAGATAACCTTCAGTTTTCTGTTATTTACGAGCATTTTTGCCCCTTTAGTTGACGCACATCCTGGAAGGGAAAACTACCTGTTTTTGAAGTTTTATATTGTATTTTCTTGAATATAAGACAAGGTTTCTTCCACCCCACCACCCTTGCCCCTCAATCCAGCATGGGGAAAAATGCCCCTTGCCTTGTATTTGCATACCAGAGCAGTGCAGGCTGTGGGGTAACCATGGCTCAAAATGCTGGTGACTGCTGGGACCCTGCCCAATGAACTATATGATAAATCATGAGCCTCTTGTTTTTGGACTATTATCAGGTGATGGAATTTGGAATGGATTTGGCTAATTAGGGCTGAGACACAAAATTTAATAATAAATTTTAAAAGTTTGTACTATATATAAGGAGGTACAAAAGTGGTGTCCAAAAGTTTTTAATAGAGTGCCTGTGCTGCAACTTGCAGAACTGTGCAAGAAGTGAAAGTGCATGAATTCTACATAAACTAAGTCTGTAATAATTGCATATATGTAAATTACTGTATATGTTTATCTCAAAGTCAGTGTTTTGGACTAATTGTGTTTCCAAGAACACAAGCCACTACATACATCTTGATTTCCTCTTTGGTCCCATAGAAGAGCTGCACCTTTGTTTTCCATTTCCATTGATACCCGTTTCTTCACCTGCCCTAAGTGTCTGGGAAACATCACCAAATGGAGCCCCAGACTGTTTACCCAGGATCCCTCTGTCAGCTTCTTTCTCAGCCTGTTGCATGTTAGCATGGCCCTGTACTCCATGAGGTGGAGCTGGACCAGGTTGCTCTGTGCCTCATCTGTATATAAATTTTTTAAGGATCCCAGGACTCATGATGAGAACACCTGATTCTAGTCATGAGTGGGTGGTGCCAGAAGTAAACACACACACTCAATAGTGCTGCGGTGTGGGGTCGCCATGGCTTGAAACGGTGTTGGCTCCTGATTAAACTATGTGGTAAATCATGAGCCTTTGTCTTTGGACTAATATCATGCATAGTTTGTCTTCTAGACAAGTAGAATGAAAATGCTGCCTGAAAATATGTTTATGAAGTACTTGAGCTAAAACTTGCAATAGTTTTTTTGTTTGTTTGGTGGGTTTTTTTGGGCGGAGGTGGAAGGGGTTAGAGGAAAAACGCATCAATTCTGGGTGCATAAAGTCTTAACCATAGTACAAAGTCAGTGTTTTCAGATTTGCCTGTCACTTCCATGTGCTCAGAGAAGCAGGATCTGACAATAAGTAGGGGAGGGGCTTCAGGAGTGAAGATGGTGTGTGGCTATATGCGAGGGGGAGGACAAGGGGGCTTCCTGGCTCCCCACTGTCCCAAATTTGTTTCCCTTCCTATAGCAGTGGGAAGGGAACAAATTTGAGGCAAGCCCCCAGTAATTATTTTTTGTGCCTGGAAAATAACGCATTTATAAATTTTCCATAAATATAAAGTAATTATTGGGGTTTGTCTTATTCAGGGTCACTTTATATTTGAGTAAATACAGTCACTTTTTCTGCTTTCAGAACTTTCCTTATAATATAAAGGAAGAGAGAACAAATGTCTACCCAGTTGTACCTTCTCATATCAATCCATCTCCAACTGGGCGGAGGGACAGATACAAGTCAGTTTTTTGTTACTTTCATTTGAATAGTTTCCCAAACAGCTTGACTAAAATAATTAAATAGTGATTAAGTGAAAACCAGAATAAATTTTGGATGCAAGGAGAAGGCTTCAAACTTTATATGAAAAATAATACAGTTTTTGGTTTACTGACATCAAAGTTGCTGAATGCTTCCTTTTATAGAAGCAAAACACATTCGTGCTATAAGATTAGATTAAACTGTTCTAACAGTATTAGTACAATATTTAGTTAGTAATGCCTTTCTGCTTTCTATAACGCTCTAGAAGTAGGGTCTTTACTACTTGTTCATGGCTGGCCTTGTACGTTTAGTTCTGAAATTTTATTTTCATATTTTTGATGTAAGCATGAGTTTCTTCTGTTCTTCTCAAGATGTTGACTGTGGTAGCACAGGCATCTGTTGAGTATAATTTTCCAAAATGTATATGTGAACTTATTCTTTTTGTGTTTTTGATTTCAGGTGGAAAGGAATTAATATTTGATATTAAGAATGGTTAAGAATGTTTATCAAATATAGTGAACTAAAAACACAATGGTCACTGCTTTGTCTTATAGGGATTCAGTACTGTGTGAGGTACTTATGATAGAAGTGTTGTTTTAGGAACTTGTGTTTGGCCAATATTAAGTATGTGGGGGATTTGATTTGATTTTTTGGATGAGGTATGTGTAACTGTCTGTATTTCTGGCTTTTTTTCCCCAGTCTGAAAGTGGAGGAGCTTTTAAAGGGTTTAAAGGTTTCATTATACCTTCTGCAAAAGGAGGAGGTGGCTTCACTGGATTTGGTAATGGTACAGGATTAAAGCCTTTAGAAGGGCTGTCTAATGGAAGCAGTGGCATTTCTAATACTGCACCTTTAATCTGTTTAAAGACAACTTCTGGAACCCCGCCTGTATTTGGTAAGTTGACTTGTAAGTTTAACTGTGCTGAGTTTTATAGTTAATGACAATTTTATTATTGAATTTGAGTTAATGTGATGGTTCAAATTTCCTATAAATATAGATTCATATTTTTTGTTTACCCTTTTGGTTTTGGGGAGGGAGACTGGAATATGAAACTTCCTTCCTGTCCTTCCCACTCCCCCACACCCTTTCTGTAGTTTCTTACAAAAACTAGAAAGGTAGGCAGGCAAGGCTTTAAATATTTAATTTGATTCCCCAAAATGAAATTTTTTTGGAAACAAGTTCATATTCAGATTCAGTAGTAGTGTAAGTTGAAGGTGGGGTCTTTTGATTTATATTATGTTAACGTTGTGAGCTTCTGCTGATGGGAAACAGCATCTTCTTAAAATCAGACTATCATTCGCAAAACCAACAAAAGAATAAAATTTCATAGAGGTATGTCTGCCTTTCTAATAAGGTCAGTTGCAAACCAGCATGTGCCAGTCATGCATTAGGGTCAACAAGAAAATGAATAGGCATACCCATTAAGTGTATATAATTGAAAAAGTTACACACTTAAAGTTCATTTTATTGAAATATAGATCAGATAATCCTTAACTACTTGAATAAAGAGATTTAATTTGTGACTTACAAATCTCAGTAATTCTTTCATATATTTTTGCACATGTGAAATAATAGTTTACTGATCATTTTAAACTCAAACTGAACATGTTAAGTTTTTGTTAAAGTTGTCAGGCAGCTTATTTCCTTTAGTGTAGTAAAGGAATTGGTTCCTGGGGTTTTTCGTTCTGTTTTTTATTTTTGTTTTTTCTCCACAACTAATGCAGTAACTTAGGCTTTTCAAAGTAGTATTAAAATTGTGATTCTGACAACTTTATTCCCTATTTTTTAACTTAAAATTGCTTGCAACAACTTCTGAAAGAATATTCTTCGTGAAGTAAGAATAATCTGAAAATGTTCTGTACTTCTGTGTGATTGGGGTTTTTTCAGCTACTGACTGATTAAAGGATAGGTGGGAACCCATAAAACTATTGTGCAAGTTAAAAATGCTTTTAGCCCCAGTACAGCTACTCCTCACTTTAACTTTGTTTTGCTTAAAGTTGCATTTTTCAAGAACAACTACGACATCAAGCAAATCCAGTTATATCACAGTAGTTACCTACTAGCAGGCAGTGACCAAACAACATTATAACCGAACGTTGTGCAACTTTAAAAACGTATATTCTCTAGTAGATCAGCAACGTAATAATGAAACAACATTATTGACGTTAAGTGAGGAGTGTCTGTATTTAAAATTAATAACTGCGTTTTCATAATATTTTGGAGCCTTATATTTTATTGTTACTAAAATTATAGTATGCATCTACTTATAGAGTGAAATTCATTTTAGTAGTTAGGTATAATACAAAACTTACATTTTAATAACTTTTGGGGAGTACAGTATGAAATATGCCTCAGTTTAGATTCAGCTCTCTCAAACTTTGACATAAATTAATAATGAAATAGAAAAAGCTTTATTTAACTCACTTTTCTACAGTTGGTGTGAACATGGACTAGATGGATAAATGTCTTTGGTGGTGTAACTTGACTCTGATTTAGAATTTCTTCGGGGGGGGGGGGGGAGAATAAAGAATAAAGCTATCCTGGTGTAGGTGTTGTGTGTCTGTAGCTGTCCATGGTAGCCAGTTACTTTTAGGCATGTTGCTTGCTCTATCCTCACTTAGTAGTGGAATGTTGTAAAGCAGAGGTTCTCAAACTGTGGTCTGCAGAAAGGTTGTGGAAAAATCGAGAATATTTGTACTTGGCCCTGCACTCAATTTAATCTCTGTTGTCAGAACAAATAAGTGGTCTGCCAAGGCCCTCAGCAATTTTCAAGTAGTCTGTGGGGAAAAAAAAAGTTTGAGAACCACTGTTGTAAAGGATTGAGATACTAGTTAAGAGACCTCATGAGGGGCTTAATTGAGCAAGAATACAGATTATTTGATGTTTAAATTTGAAAGGAAAATAAATCTTTTTAATGCATTGCCCCTTTTGGAGAGTAGGAGGGCTCAAATGTTGCAGTTGATTTTTTTATTTTATTTTATTTTATTTTATTTTTTTTATTTTATTTTATTTTATTTTTTTGGTAACAGGGTCTCCTACATCCAATGGTCCAACTGCTACTGGCTTGGTTGAGAAAAAGACTGCAAGTCCAAAAGCTAATGGTGGCAGTCAGCAGTCATCATCTGGTTACTCTCAGAGTAAAATGTGCAACTGTAGTCTTTATTATGAACATTTAACTGCACTAAACTGTTCTGTGCGTGACTGGATAGTAAAGCATGTGAACACAAATCCACTGTGTGATCTGACACCTATCTTTAGAGACTATGAGAAATATTTAGCAAACATTGAACAACAGTATGGAAGCGGTAGTGATAGCAGCTCTGAGAATGAAAATAACAAGACAACACCTGGAACTCAGTCTGTTCCTACATTTGGGACTTCAAAACTTCAGCAAGGATCAACATTTTTGTTTAACAGCAACAAAACTGAGGATGCATCAGACAAGAAAATGGAATCTGTGTCAGAAAAGAACAGAGAACCAACACCAGGAGTTGCATCAAATGTCTCATTTAATTTTGGCAAGAAAGTTGACAGTTCTGTTTTGGGTTCCCTTGGTTCTGGAACGCTAAGTAGTTTCTCCTTCTCTCCTGGGAATTCCCGTCTATTTGGAAAAGATACAAGTCAGACAAAGTCTGTTACTCCACTTCCAACCAGTGTATTGGAGGCTCAGACAGAAAGTGGTAGTAGTGATGATAAAGGTAAATTCTGATTTCTTTTCCTTTCAAAAAATTAAATTTTAAATTGTGAGCCTTGAATTATGAGCACGTAACATGATGCTTCATTATTTGTTGTGGGCTAAATAGGCCATTTATCACTGCCCATTTATTTTGCATTACTGAACATTTGCCCCACGTGACCAAGAAATTCAAGTTTAGTGATATTGCTTATTAGCTCATCAATGACAGACTCTACTGATTAGACGTTTTAATTTTTTTTATTTATTTATGCACTGAATGTTTTCCCTTGATGACTTATACTTTATTTGCATAGGAGACTGCTGAAATCTTAGCTTGACGTTCTGCCAAATTTGTAATGTGAGCATCATGATGACTTGTCATGTCATGCTATTGTGTGTGGTTGGGGAAAGGGATCAGCACCTTTTTGTATTTTTTTAAAGTAATATGGGAAATATGATCATTTTAAATATTACTGTTCAATGTAATGATGAATATAAAAGATAGTAATGTAACTTATCTGTACTAGATATGTATGTAATTTAAGGTGTACTTGAAACTCTGGGTTGCAAACCCATGGTAATTGATTCTTATATTTAAAACTAGTTGGTCCAGAGCTTCAAGTACAGCTTAAATTAGATAAGCATGTCCTAATACAGATAAAGTTGCATTGTCAAGTATAAGCTAAGAATTACAATGTAGTGATAAATATAAATTTTAGCAATAATTATATACTTCTCACACTGGGTGGGGAGGGGAGTGCTGTTACCAAAGCAACACTGAAAATCACAGTATCCTTAGTCCTCATTTTAGCCATGTAGATCTAATAAAAGGATCTTATTTTTATACCACTACAGCGAGGCATAAGGATGTGATTTTTGTTGTTGTTGTTGTTGTTGTTGTGTATGCGTGTTCCTTTTTCCAGCACTTATTTTAAAATGAGTGCAATACTAATTCAGTTGTTTATGAGAAACTCATGTTTTCTTTCAAGTCTGTTTCCTATTTTTCCTTGCTCTGCCTCAGAGGTTGTAGTTATTAGCGCTGCAGGAATTTAGACATGCTCGCTACTTAACTCCTGTTGACAACATTTTAATTTTGAAGTTGAATTTAGTAGTAAGAACTAGCTTTCCACATAAGCAGAGGTGGATATGATACTTATGTGAACCTTGTTCCTGGTTTTGAAACCCTTCCAGGGAAGCCTTTTTGAATTTCTTCCACACCTAACTGGAGTGGCAAGGAGGTGCCTGGAAATTCCAGTTTCTGTAGAATTGGGACTTATTCAGAAGGATAAGAGACTGTTTTGTGAGCCAGATGTAAACTGAAATGTTAGTCTTCCTGACCATACAGGCAGCTTCAGCTTCACTGCAGTTCTCAGTAATTTTGTCACAAAGCTGCAACATAAAATTGATAAGGCTGACCAGTTCCATTGCTGTTTGTCACGAGCATTTAAGGAACTGTGGAGTTTTGAAAAATCGATTTTTCTCTTGGTACTGCTGTTGTATTCTGAGTTAGGTGTAGCTCCTAGATAAAAATCGTAGTGAGTGGAGGGTTGGGGAAAGACCAAGCTCTTAACTTGTCATCATTTTAGTGTAGATTATTTACATAGTTAGGTATCTAATAAACTTCAGGCTCTGTAGAACACTTCTAGAGAGAACCTGCCCCAAACTCCCATTGCTTCTCTACCCAAAAACATCTGAGCTTTAAAAAAGAAAGAAAAAAAATCTACAATTTTAGAACTTGAACTGGCAAAACATCAGTGAAAATAACAATATGGGCTGGAGTGATTAAGAGAACACTATTTTTACTATCCAAGAAATATCCTTGTAGCTGCCAAAACTGAGTTCACTTACATTTTTTGGCAGTGTGTGTGGACTGTATCTGGGCACTTTATATAAAGATATTTAAGGAAAGCACTTTCTTCAGCACCATACTACTTACGAAGTGTTGTATGAAAAATATTATTAATCCATGGAATGTTGTGATAAACTAGGGTGGTTTATATACTTGGAGCACCATTTGGCCTCACTTCTTTCCACTGTTTTGTTGCTCACCCATTGAGAACAAATTATTGTTTATTTTCCATGGACTAACTTTTTAAACAGTTACTTATAGGTAGCTGGGGGACTAGATAGGGCAGATTTGATTTAAAGCAAATAGATATAAATTGCTGGTCTGGAAACCTTGACTTAATCGTTTTCGACAAAAAGTGCATTCTTGTTTGATATAACTTTAATACATATTATTCAAAACTTGGAGATAGATGTAGGTTTCATTTTTGGAAGGTACACACTATACGTTTTAAAGCAGTGATTTATTTTGATATTTTTTCAAATGAATTTTGCAGCTACATCAGAAAACTGAATTATGATTTTCTTACTTTATTTACCAAAACTAATTAGAGCAGATACTTGTGAAGTCATTGGGGAGGTGAACTATCTCTAATTCCCTAGATTAATCATGGATATTTGGGGGATATTTTGGCCACGCTGTATTAGGAAGAAAATAACTGTCACTAAAAACAACAGACATTTAGATTTTTTTTTTTTAACTAAAACAACAAGCATATGTATTTTGGATATTTTTTATTTAACAGCAAACGTGTATAATTATTTTAACAAAACATAAATATGTATTTTGGATATTTTTTACTATTTTAGTTATAAATGTGAAATGCATTTTAAACAAAAATTAGGTAAGTTTCTTATGTTGACCTGGCTGAAATACATTTGAAAAACTGGGTTATGCAGCAAACTCAGTCTTCATCTTACTCTTCCTGTTTGTTTATAGACTAGATAAGAAAGACAAGCTTTCCTGTGTTTTCAGTTCCCAAGCGATTTCTTAATTTAGAGTGAATTAGTCCAAAGGAAGAAAATATTCTTTCTATACCTACAGAAGAAGCTACTGCTGTTAAAAGCTGGATTATCACTTTAATTTTCTCTGGTAGATCTAGGTCTTAAGTGACTTCTTCTGATTCAGTGGTGTGACTTTCATTAAACACTCATCAGCAAATGTTATATTTCTTGAATCGTTCACCCATAGCCCTGAAATTTATTATAGCTGATATTATGGAGGGGTGATTGATGGATGCCCATGTTACCCAACTCCTCTTCAGCAGTTAAGGATTGACCCTGGTACCGAGTATTGAGAATATTGACAAGAAAATGAGCTGGAGATGGTGCTTGATCCAGCTGGTTCTCTCCTGAGAAGGAGCAACAGAGTTAAATTACAGGCATTAAAGAAAGTCTTCCATCTGATTAGGCAACCAGGCCTTGCATTTCTTTGTTGCAATGTGTGCATTTTGCACGCATGCCTGCTTTACCCACAGGCAGAGGAACTTGATTAAAATATTCCCAAACAGGGTCTCTTTTTCAGCCTGGCAAGCCTGCTGCCATGATAAGTTTTCCTTTCTGCCATACCATTCCCACACTAGATCTCAAATCAGTGGAGAGGCTATACTCAGAAACTTATCTCTCAAGACTTCTGGAATCTTCTGCTCAATGTTTCTCTTTTTGTTTCTACTGTCCCTCCCTCCTTGCATTCATCTCCAGACTCTTCCTCCTTGCCCAGATCTACTCCACCCCCAGCAATCGTCTATTCATAGACTTGTAGATTCATAGACGGTAGGGTTGGAAGGGACCTCGAAGATCATCAAGTCCAGCCCCCTGCCCCAGGGGCAGGAAGTCAGCTAGGTTATAACTTCATTCATTTAACCCAGGGGCCGGCAATTATTTTGGGCAGAGGGCCACTTACTGAGTTTTGGCAAGTCATCGAGGGCTGCATGACAGGCAGCTCAGGGCAGATTCATATTAATTTTCTAAATTTTTTAGGGGCCCCAGGGGCCAGATAAAATGGCCTGGAGGGCTGCATCCAGCCCCCGGGCCACATTTTGTCTGCCCCTGATTTAACCTTTTGAAACAAACTGCACTTTTAGAGAGAGGTATAAGGGCTTGACTCTGTGACAAACTTGCAGAGAGACAATAGGGCTGAAGTGGGTACATAATCAGGTCTGTTTTCTCCATATACTACTGTTAACAAGGATGTTCTCTCTCTGGAGAGACAAATCCACAGTTTGAAAATTGAAACTAAGCATCTCAGAGATGTTTAATGGGATCTTTTAGATTGAGCACTGAATCCCATTGGGTAAAGTGGTTTTCTGTAATCTTTACTAACCTATAGAGGAGCCTCTGGGGAACCCCTTAAGATGTGGCCCCTAATATAGCCCATGGCCTATTGTAACCTATTGATTAAAAACTGTTTTTCTTAAAAGGTTACATGAATAATAGTGGCTTAAATAGTATATAATTAGAAGTAAGAATCCCTATTCCATGATGGTATCTTTGAAGTTCAACATATCTTAAATTAGAATTACCTTTATATAGGTTTATTTTTAAAAAATCTTAACCAAAAAAACCAAATAATACAATTTAAAAAAAAATTTTTTTAGTAGTTGAATTTTATCCACCCTGGGACTACACCACCCATAGCCTAGGTTCACTAGACAAAGTGCTCTCTCTGTCAAGGCATCTCATAATTACCTAACCATATGTACTCTCTTGTATTCTTCTGTTTAATTCTTGGAATATATATTAGGCAAATAACTTCTTGTCTCCAAAGTTCTGACAGGCCAAGTGTTGTTCTGGATTTACAGTTATATATATGACATACAGTGAATATATATATATATATATATATATATATATATATAATATTT